AGCCAACCTGCTTTAGACTTCCTATCCTCCTGCGTATGTTTTACCTCAGGTTTCGTACATCACAGAGAACCTCTCCTTGGTGATTGCAAAGACTAAGCAGTGTTGCTGCTCTTTTAAAGTAAGGTTTTCCCTGCTTCCTAAGAGGTGCAGTTAAACCTTTGTGTAACCAGATGAATACAGGAGACAACAACTGGTATGTTTACAACCTCAAGCTATAATATGAGAGATTAATGTATTCCTTACTATGTTTAAAACTACTATGTTAAAACATCCAACAGTTGTTTTAATTTCAGACAGATCTTCCAAGCTTTCTTTTAAAAAAAAAAAAAAAAAAAAAAAAAAAAGAAAGAGGGGGGAGAGGGGAAACTCACGAGATTGGCAAGGCTGTGGTCTGGACTGTTGGAAGCATTTAGCCACAGTGTGATCTAAGAAAAAAGAGCAGTCACATTGTTTTGAAAATTCATGGGTTCAGTGACTAGCTATAACTTTTTCCTGTCTTCACTGTAGGCAGTCTTTTAGGTTGTATCTATGTTATAGAAAGGACAAAGATGGGTATGTTCTGTTACAGATTTCACTGAGTTGAGGTGTTCTGTTTTGTTGGTTTTTTTTTTTTTTCTTGGAATATAACAATGGGGATAATGCTGAAAACTTTGAATAATAGAACAGTTTCAGGAAAGAACTCTTATGAAATATGTGTATAAGAGAATAACGAGTTGTCTTCTGAAGTAACTTAAATCTTGTGAGATAGCCTTTTGTCTAAATGCTGTAGGTGGAGCCACGCTGTGTAATTCCGGATACACAGATAATGTATGAGTTAACAGCATTTTCTTTACTGTTCTGAAAAAGGTAGATATATTTCAAATAGTCAGAAGAGCAACCTAAGTCTTTGGGAGGTTTGCTGCTGCAGGACTATTCCTATAGTACTTTTTGAAATGAAGGACTACAGGAGAATTGAAGCTGTTAGAACTCTTCTCCATTGTGCTACAGTTCTCTCCTTCTGTATAAACTCAGCTGATGCGCTTTTGCAAATGATAGGAAAATGTTTTGTATGTGATTTTTAGCCAGCGTAACGTCAGAGATGTACTGCCTCGGGGAGCGATGAAACAAGAATGTGACTGAAAGAATTGGAAATAATTAGAGAAACGGGAAAAACTAAGACCTTTTACAGTTCATAGTAGTGAAATGGTGGATCTAGTGCAAACGGAGTTCTATTGTGTGAATTTGGAAAAAAAAAAAGGCATAGAGAAATTTTGCAAATGTGTGATTCTGCCAATATACTTGCCAATAACTTACTTCACTGTAAAAGTTCCAAGTTCCTTATGTTTAATTGGTTTTGATGTGCCAGCCTCTGGGTTTGTTTAAAATTATTTTATGCAAATTTTATGAAAAAAATGCTGCATTGAACATTGGGATGTGGTTTTTGTGTTTTGGTTTGGTGGTTTTTGAGTTGGGTTTTGTTTTTTGTTTTCCATTTTCTAGAGGGCTTATCTGACAAAGCCTTGGCTAAATTACAAATTATACGGTCCTTATTGTTGTCCTACTTCGATGGTCCATGCTGAGTCAAGCAAAGTTCCAATTGGTGAATACCTTTCCTGAATAGAATCGGTGTAGTAGCATAGACAGCTTTTTTCCAGTGCCTTTAATTTCAGTAAATCTGTATGTTCAAAACATTGCCCTACAACACTTCTGCAAAGTATTTTATTATGATGTAAATATGAATTCAAGACAAGCATGAAGTAGCACTTGGAAGAGTATCTTGATTGCTCTCTTCATAAAGCTTCTGATAGTCCTTTTCATGCGACCTGTGAGTGCAGGGAGGTAACGGTCATAGTGACCCATGTTTTAAAAGTGGGCAAACACTCCAGAGTAGTTAGTTACCAGTAGCATGAAGTTCTTCCAAAGTAATACACGACTCAGGTGTTGTTTGTTTTTCTGCCTATGTATCTTAGTCCGTGGGTTATGGGTTGGCTCTACCTGGGTATGCTGTGGCAGCACGTTACCAAAGGAGCGCAAGAATAGGGTGGAGTGTGAATGTGACATAAGGATATTGCTATGCTGAAGTACTTTCAGGAAGTTTTGATTATTTAGTTATAGACATATAGTAAGTTGAATGTGCATACCTACCACACACATTGAAGAACTCATAAGCGACTCTTCTAAGGTAGGCGTCAGTCTGCTGTGTGTGTTTTCTTCTGACAAAACTAGTGGTTAGTTGTATACATCAAC